GAGCAATGGTAGTATGAATAGAGCAATGGTGGCCCTGAAAAGGGCCGTTTTGATGATTTGTGGCTCTGAAAAGAGCCGTGTTGATGTTGCATGGCCCTCAAACGCTTATGTAATCACAAAAGCACAAGAATGAGGATCGGCTTGACGACGCTAATCTTATAAAGTGGCTGCTGACACGTGATTGGTTAGTTGCATTATCCAATCAGGTTGCAACACGTGGTGGTAACTTCTAGAATTTTCTATGCGAGTTGTGCTTCGCTAGGATGTTGACAGCCTTGGCAGCAAGCTGCTTGTGGAGCCTTTCGAACACATCTGAAGTTTGAAAGGAAATGCGGCAACGGCTTGATTCGTTTGGAACCAACTATGTGATGTCTTTGTTAGGAAATACACCTTATGGTGTAACCAAATGTATGGCAAATTTTGATGCTACAAATTTTAGTTAAGTTTCTTAGTTGTTTAACTATTTGCACTATTTGTACTATATGCCACAATTGCTGGAGTAAGCCCCCGGCTAATGGCATAATGCATGACATATTTCACACTAATGCTTTGGAGATATATGCGTTCAAAACCTGACCCTTTCGTTACATGCTCATTTTTCGTACTCTCAAAGTGTACCCCCATATAGAAAACAAAGACGTAGTCCTACTTCAAAAATGACAAGTTGGATTGCTGCAACTACCGTGTGATCACATTGCTGATCAACACCAACAAGGTTTTCTCTTGAATACTATGCCACCGAATGTCACCGTATTGCAAAGGAGTATTCATGGGTGCCAGCAAACGCAGTTCGAAGTTTTCCCAGATGAGATGAGCATCCTTACCAAAAATCTGGAACAACAACCAGATGCAGTAATAGAAACGGTGAAAATGACCAGTTGTCTGCACAAATTGACTCCGATTCTGGACAAAGAAAGGTGTGCTGTGGTTGGGTGGTAGAATGGAGATGTCCGTCGACATGCCGGTTGACAAAAGGTTTCCGATCATTCTGCAAAGAAAGCACGCGACGACGGAAAAACTTATCCAGTTCTACCACGAGAAGTACGGACATGCCAATCGAGGAGTGGTGATGAACGAGCTTCGCCAACGGTTCTGGATTCCGAACACCCGAACTGTAATTTGTCAGGTAATGAGCGCTACTACAGCGTGGCATTTCAACCCACTGCTGCGCCGCACATGGACGGCATTTGGGAGCGGATGGTCAGGTCCATAAAGGAGGCGATTAAGGCGCTGGCTGGATGATGGACGAACGATGTCCGACGATGTTTTACGTACAACACTAGCAGAAGCAGAAGATATGATCAACGCCTGGCCGCTAACGTACGTACCGCAGGAATCACCTGAGGAAGAAGCGATCACCCCGAACCATTTCCTTCGCGGGTCTGTAACGGACGCGGACATGAGGTTAGATGGAACAGTAGATCTGGCTAAGACACTGCGAGATACTTACAGGCGTTCGCAATACTTGGCGATCCGAATGTGGAAGAACTGGTGTAAGGAATACTTGCCGACGATAAACAGACGAATAAACAGTAGTGTGCGTGTGTGCTTGTGTGCATACAATCCATATCCCACTTGCAACTATGGCAGCTCAGTCGGTAATGGGGTGTTTACATTTATGTTATTTCACTAGCGCTATTGAGCTAGCTGCTATCAAAAAAGCTCACTAGCATAATGTACACAGGGCATCAGCGTCTACCAACATGAGATTTCAGGAGCAACTGAAATTCGTGCTAGTTGGCGAGTACACTAGCGCTAGCAAATCCGCACAGATGTAAACACCACATAAAGGTGCAGTTGTAAGGAAATACCATGCTGGCACCGGTCTGTAGAATTTGTCGAATTGAAAAATTACTCGGCATCCTTTGGGCATAGAATATGATTCTACTTGCCACACAATTATACTAATGAGTGTTCACTCGGCTGTCGACAAAAGCAGGCCACTCTCGATATGTGCCAGGCGATCGTCTGTTTTCTCGGCAGCAACCATTGTGTAGTCCTCCTCATTGTTCTTCATCAGCAGTTCTTTCGGTCGATGCGTCGTCGACTTTGGAAAGCAACCGTTTTTTTGATGATGGATGTGTGAGTGCTGACTACGTTTTGCATCCATTGCTGCAATGGAAGCGCTCTGACCCAATGAGATGTATGTAGGTGAGGAAATCATCGTAAAATGGTATTCGTGTAGTGCAAAATATGTTATAGTGTTTGTGAAGTATACCTTCCATTTTTTTCATGCCAATTTTTTAGGAGTTTTTCGTCATCACCGATTTTTTACCTCTTTTTTGCTACTAATACCAACAAATACCCTCTTGTGTCACACCTGTATACATCTCATTGGCTATGACCCCCGTTGGCGAATCTACCATACAATGAAACCACTGGAAGCGGCTCCCATTCTGATGAAAAAGTCTTTTTTGATAGCGGAAGATAAAGTGTTTATTGGGTTGTACCTTTTGACTATAGTTTTAAGTTGTATTGTATAGTGACCAAGAATCTTCGGCTCTGTAAAGTTAATTCGGTTGAGTCTTATCAAATAAATTAATAAACAACAATTATACTAAGGCACAAATGGTACAAGCTGAGCAAGCTCACAAAAAACACCAAGTTCAGTAAATACATAAATTGGATCTCATCATTGGTCAAGCATCTCTATTTGGTGGAGGAGTTAAAGGATAAAACGTGGAACGAGTGTTTTTTTTTTTTTTAAGTTCTTTCATCCCTTTTGCGGTCCCTTGAAGAGATAAAAAATACTAAACACATGAATCCTGATGAATGGTGGAATACCTGTGTAAAGAATGAGAGAAGGATAAGTAATTCCCATTTAATTCCACTACATTAATTGCTTATCCTTCACAGATATCAGTATTTCGCCTACAAAGTGCCTCGCAACTTACTGAATTTGTATTAAACCTAGGCACATTTTCACTTACGAGCTAGGTTCTTTATACTTTACACATCTAAAAGCAGTATGTGTTTATAACTCACCGAACACACAAAATCAGTCACGATTACGAATACCAACCGCCATAATTATCCTATTGCAGCACCAACCGGAAGCATAATCCATTCATTGCTACGATTCGGTCACGTTCCCTCACATTTTGTTCAGTGAATTCCTTAACTACTCCGCCTGCTAACTACTGTGTCCGATAAGCTCGAAGCACAATCGTTACTCCATCCCACCCCGTCTGCCAATGTGTAAGCAATGAAAATTATTCATGACCACGCTCTGGCTATACTTCCATAGCTTGTCCTGATGACTACGGACTCCCCCTGTATTTAGCCATCAAAAAACCACATCAAACAATATCTCTACCCCATCCCACCCCCAGGGACGCTGGTATTCAAGGCGCAATTTGTGACACCTCCTCTTCACCCTCATGGTTGGCTCTTAGCGTGATTTAATGATAATTCCTCCCCCAACCAACTACTAACCTTCAACCTGTGTGGCTGAACAAAGCTCCCTCAACTTTCCGGACCATCCTACAGACTCAAGGACTCAACTACTGCAACAAGAACTGTTGTCGGTAAAGTGAAATGAATGGCTGCCTATAATGTGCTTGCTTACACCAACCAATGCGAGCTTTATGCTTAAATTTATTTGAGCAACATGCTGCTCACTTTGTGAAGGATTGTTGCTTTTGTTGATCATGTGAATGGGGTGTACCTATACAATTATAGGTGCTCAAATAAATTGAAATATTCCGTGACAGTTACATTCAAGTGGGTAGGAAAATCGATGTTATTTTACTTATATTTGCCGAGCATGTTTCTTTTTTCATGGAGGTCACGGTCAACCCGCACTGGAAACAAGCACCGTCTTAAAGTAATTGAAAACCACACCTTGTTACCCGCGTGGATTCACTTAACCCAACAGCATGAATCCAATCTTCCCACTAACTTTTATAACACATTTCCCGTGTGCTGCACTTCCGATCAATTCATCCGGCATCAATATCCACTGCATCACTCCCGGACGTGTTGTACGTATGCTATACTCCTGTGAGAAGGTGGATACAGATGTTTGCCCTGAATGTATGTACCTATGCCGTTTCTCCAAGTCAAACACGATGCAATCTCCGTGCACTTTATTCTTGGCAGCCAGTAGTTTGAAAACAGGAAAAATAACTGGCATTACAGTTTGATCCTTCTTGTGCTGCTACTGCTGTTAGTTATGCTCCCGGGATGCATCTTCTTTATGTATGTACGTATAAATTCAAGGTCGCCCGAACGTATCCTCCTGTGCAACTGATGGCTAGATATTGGACCCCGTTCGTTGGTAAGTCATACTACCGCCAACAAATATGCACTCGGTGTCGGATTGGGGCAAGCAGCGAAATTATGAAAAACGATCATGTGTTCGGTCTACCGTCGTCGGAAGACCGGTTTAACCTCAAACCTGAAATTCAATATCCTCCCTGTCTCAGGCTTCAGATCAACTCAATTGCACACCATGCATTTCCACCAACCAACTGGCATGCGGTGGAAATTTGTTTGCTTTCCAACTCTGCTGCAGCTTTTATGCATGTTGTTATTCCGGAGGAAAATATTTTCATAAATCATTCATCCCCGCTCAGCATCCGTTTTTCAACATTTGCGGTGGAATAATCCGTTCCGATGCTGCTGCTGCTGCTGTATTTGCTAGTTCAGTTCCATACGTTCAGAGGAATTTGTTTTCAGAGCAGGCACAAGTCTCAAGTAGGCACACCATCAATCCGGCAACAACGACCAGCCAGACTTGTAGACAAGAGAGTCGTACTCGAGTTGATTTTCCGGCCTCTTAACTCAAAGCGCATTCGACTCCCATTGAGCACAGAACAGGCGAAATGGGATCAAACGACGTGAAAATAAAGAGCATGGCAAAAAATCCTCCACTGCAGTACCGCAGTAGACCAATGATAAATCTGTTTTCCAATCCGTTTCACGCTGCATAAAGCTGATTTTATGCGAAAGCTTTTCATTCTCATGATTTCTGTGTTTTCTTCCATCTCACATTGCAGGTTAATCCACTTTCATTGCTGACCAATAAAACTACAGCGATTGGGGATGAAAACAATTGAAAGCAACCGGCAACGACAGCAATACGATGCAGGTGAGAAAAGATTTTTTTTGTTCAAAAACTTGCAACAATGGTCAAAGAATTTCCTTCCGGTAGGTCAATGTTCTATAGTAGGTCGCAGGATATCAGTCAACTTGGTCACAAGTTTTTGAAATTTTTCGGATTACTAAACTTAAATGAATAATGAGATAGGCAGAGTTGAGCTAACATAACACTAGTTTACAAAACAACATAAAAAGTGTGAACTTTAGTGGTTGACCAACGTTTCTAATGCAAAATCTTAGCTGAATTCAATGCCGTGGTCAGAAAAAAATAAAGTAGAGCCATTTTTGAGATATACAAAAATTCTGATTTTTTTAATTTTCGACAAAAGTACGATTACTAAAATGTCAATATCTTTGAAACTAGTGCACCAATTTTAAATCTTTTTTATGAAAGTGAAGCTAAATAAATTTGTCTTAATTAAAAATTTAATTTTGAAGTCATTTAAAAATTTACAGCTTTTTTTTTATTTTTCCTGCGAATTTTTCATAAAAAAATTGTTTTAATCAACATTTTTAATGGGATAAAAAGATTCAAAAAATCATTCCATAATTTATTATTAAAGTCCATTAAAAACTGGAGAAAATAAGCCTTTAATGGATGAAATCGGTTGGAAATTGTCGAAGTTATGAAATTTTTTGTAAAATCATGGAAATTGAATGTTCCAAGATTGGCCGTTGTCCCGCTCCTAGGTTCATGCACCACTTCCAGTAAGCCTTTCTGCGGACGTGTACGCATACGGTGCATTTCACTAACACTACCAGCTGTCACGCAAAATTAAATGGGATATTTTCAACAACATAATTTACGCTAGTGTTTGTGAGACCGCTCGGCGAGAACCTAACGCAACCAACTCAATTTGACAGCTTTCTTTCTTTAACATTGCTTAACGATGTATACGACAAAACGTGAATTCAAGTGTAAAAATGATCCTCAAAAGTTTTGTTACGCGTGTGGCAACTATATATTTACAAAATCGGTCAATTTCACTGCTTCGTTGCAAACTGCATACAGGCTTTATTTTAAAATTGATCCTGGAGGCTTTGACGAACCGTGGATTCCAAAAGTATTACGTAGTTCGTGCAAAACGTGCTTGGCTAGGTGGATGCCAGGCGCAAGGTAAATTGATTTTTTGAATAACTTTCATATAAACAATTTATGTGCTTTGTTCTTTCCTGATCGACATTATCTTACTTCATCTGTTTTTGATAAGTGTTAATGTCTTACTTACTAACTCACTTATTTGTTATCTGTCAGTCGCTATTTGTCCTTTGACATGCCCACCATATGGCGTCGACCGTTTTGTCATGCAACGGATTGTTATTTCTGCTTGACAAAAGTTAAGCAACAAGGACGTCACAAAACAGTTGAGTATCCACAAGTGGCTTCTATGACAAAACCTGTTCCACATTCAAGTTCGGTCCCGTATCCAGTTTATCCAAAGCGGAAACGAGCGCCCTCTGTTGAATCGACCGTTACAAAAAGTGAGGAGGAATTCAAGGAGGAATGCGAGGAAGACTTCGAGGTGGAATTGGAAAGAAACCCAAAACTGTTTACACAATCCGAATTTAATGATTTGGTGCGAGATCTCGACTTATCGAAGGAGAAATCCAAATTGCTGGCATCACGCTTGAAAGAACACAACATGCTGAGCAAGGAGGTCAAAATTTCTTGTCACAGGAATCGTCATAAGAAATTTGACAAATATTATTCTACAAAGGACAAGGCATGTTTTTGCCATGACGTAAACGGCTTGTTTGAAGAGTTTGGTGAGACATATGATCCAGCTGAATGGCGTTTATTCATCGATAGCAGCAAGTTGAGCTTGAAAGCCGTTTTACTGCATCAAGAGAATGAGAAACCTTCTATTCCATTAGCTCATGCCGTTAATATGAAGGAAACGTATGAATCAATGGCTCTATTGCTCAATTTGATAAATTACAATCAACACAATTGGAAAATTTGTTCCGATCTTAAAGTGGTTGCCATGTTGACTGGATTGCAACAGGGATACACAAAATATATGTGTTTTTTGTGTAAATGGGACAGTCGAGCTCGTAAGGAACACTACGTCCGAAAAGATTGGCCAAAACGGGATAATTTCACAATTGGTAAAGACAACGTTAAAAATGATCCTCTTGTGGTAAAAGAACGCATAATACTTCCACCACTACGTATAAAACTTGGGCTATTCAAAAATTTCGTCAAAGCGTTGCAAAAAGAAGGGCCGGCATTCCAGTACTTGAAATCAGTATTTCCAAATTTATCTGACGCAAAGATAAAGGAAGGTGTATTTGTTGGCCCACAGATCAAAAAACTGCTCAATGATTCCGCATTCAATACAGTTTTGACACCAGATGAGGAAGAAGCGTGGAAATCGTTCCAGCGTGTTGTCACAACCTTTTTAGGAAATTTCAGAAGCCCAGATTATGAGGAAGCCGTCGATGAATTGCTCAAAAATTATGAGAAAATAGGTATAAATCAAAAATATTGTGTTTGTTACATATAATTAATTTCAAATCCTTTTATTTCACTGAACACAGGTGTGAATATGTCTTTGAAGATACATTTCCTACATTGTCACATGGATTTTTTCCCGAAAAATCTTGGTGACGAGAGTGATGAGCACGGCGAACGTTTTCACCAACAAATGAAGATGATGGAACGTCGTTACCAAGGGTTTTGGGATGAAGCAATGATGGGTGACTATTGTTGGTTTCTGATTCAAGAAACAAGTTCAAAACATCGAAGACAAAGTCATTCGATTCTCAATCATTTTTAATAAAACCTAAATAAATTTCTTTTGTATCAACTCGGTTTTAAATCCTGATATGCCTTAATCAAATTGATATGTAGGGAAAAGAATCTCCCATGAAAACTTTACATGCGATTTGGATGCTTACAACGACACCTAGAAAAGGAACTCAAAAGCTGTTGTATTTCAGCAACATTTTTAAGTGTTTTACAAAAATGCTCATAACTTCGACAATTTCCAACCGATTTCATCCATTAAAGGCTCATTTTCTCCGGTTTTGAATGGACTTTAAGAATAAATTATGGAATGATTTTTTGAATCTTTTTATCCCATTTAAAATGTTGATTAAAACAAGATTTTTATGGAAAATTCGCAGGAACAATAAAAAAAAATGCTGTAAATTTTTAAATGACTTCAAAATTAAATTTTTAATTAAGACATAATATTCTAGTGAACGATAGCAAATTTATTTAGCTTCATTTTCATAAAAAAATATTTAAAATTGGTGCACTAGTTCCAAAGATATTGACATTTTAGTATTCGTACTTTTGACCAAAATTCAAAAAATCAAAATTTTTGTATATCTCAAAAATGGCTCTATTTTATTTTTTTCTGACCACGGCATTGAATTCAGCGTAGGATTTTGCATTGAAAATGATCATCACCTTACCGAGTTCAAAAATGCTGTAAACTAGTGTAATCTGCCGTTGAACTAACACCCGTTGTTCGTAACTTGTCCGGGTGAGATTTGAACTCAAGTCTTTCAGTGTGAGAAACATGCTAACGATTTACGCCAGACCGTATTCAGTTAAATATTATCAATGCAAAATCAGCAATCTGATTGATTTCATTGAAAGCAGGATTAGTTTTCCGTTTGATTCAACTGTGTAAAAATATGCTCTCATTTTTGCTGTGTTAACCGTTAAGTCTACCAAAATGAGATAGACGGGAGTATTCAAAATAAATTACATCATAACAGCAAATTTTGATTTCAATTTGATATTCAGCTTTGCACGGGAAGTGTAACTTGACACTTTTGGCTGCTAATTAAAAATTGCCAAAATTGCTTTGCTCAGAAATTTATGTATGGGTCCAATATTTTGGACACTTAGGCCGACATTAGCGACATTAACCCTATGTAAAAATAATAATTTGCCGTAATTTGACATAACTCCATTAGCAACATCTGGGTATGTTCCCAGAGATTTTTTTTTTGTCAATCTAGTTCGTTTATTCACTAGGCTTAGTCGTGTGTGACACTTTGCGGAGCCAAAAATCCGTAATTTTTTAATTGACATTTTAAACAGCAGTAATCTAGGTTAGTATTGGGTACCAATTACTCGTGGCGGGATCGAGGTTAATGGGTAAGGTACACCGGGAGAAGTGGATACAAGAAAATGCATAGTTCAACTTCAACTTGATGTGCAACTCTTAAAAATGCATCGATTTTTATTCTGTTGATTGTAAAATGAATGTGGAAGTGTTGTGCATAACACAATATAAAAATAAAATCATTAAGATTACTCGCTAGTGCTCACCAAAGATTTAAAAAAATTGACTCGATGGTCCACTTACCCCGGTGGTTCGGGGTAAGTGGAACAGCGATATGTTTGTAATCATAATTGAGAAATAACGATTGTGATTGATATAAAATGCATTCAGAATATCTCAAACACGCTTAAATGACTTATTTCTTATGAAATCATTTATAAGTACGTAATAAAAATTAAAATAAAGAAAGAAAACCCAGTTCTTAAGATTTTTTTTAGACTTTATTAACGAGATTTTTAGCCCTTAGTTCTTAAGAAGTACACCGATGAAAATGGAAAAAATACAATACAAAGTTCGACTTCTACTTGATGTGCAACCTTCAAAATTGCAATATTTTAGGTTTCTTTACTGTAAAATTAATGTGTGACTGTTACATATAACATACACACAATATCTCATTGATTCCATAAGGGTCTGCTCACATATTACGTAACGCAAGAAAGTATAGCTGTAGAAGGGTATCTGACAACGGGGTATATGTCATGAATTAGCTGATATGAAAAAAGTGACGAGCGAGTATGGGGAGTATTCAAAATCTCACCTTTCAACGTTAAATAGTTTATGAACAAGCCTTTATACACAAAAAATACGAGATTTTTAAAAGCTGACTTGCTCATGCATTTACATTGACGATATGGGGTAATTGGTTCATCGGGAGTTTGTTATCATTGAGATTGTGGAAGAA